AAAAGCTCCGGTTAACCACACACGTTAGCACTCACCAAGAACTTTGGCGCCTGAATGTGTCTCTGCGTCCTCTTCTGCCTGCTCCAAGCCTTCCGTGTGACTCCTACACTCTCCGAACTTTGCTATGTGCCAGCTAAGCCTGTGCGCCGTTTCATGTCCTATTTAACTCTAAAAGCTGCAGGAACACTGAGTGCCAGCACTCTGTGCCCAACAGCCTCCCTCCCCGCCAGCCCAGGGTGCTGCAGAGACCACTAAAGCCTGCAGCTTCAGCCTCTGTACGGATGCCACAGGCCACACACCTCAGGCCCAGTCCCCACGGTCCGCAGCTGCCAGAGTCCCCCACCACCTCCTTTCAGCCCTCCTGAGCTCCTTCCCCCTGCCCGTCCATCACCTGGCCACACTCACTCCCATGTCAGCCCTGCCCACTCCGCGATGCCCAGTCCAGCCTGGCCGGGCGGGGAGGAGTCAATGCTTGCCCAGAGCACACCAACCTCTCCTACCCTCCGTAACATCCGGTCACTCCCATGCCCGCACGAACTGCAGCTTCCTTAGGCTCATGCCTGGACCACAGGTTTTCCCTAAGGCCTCTGGGCCTCTACAACACCTCTCCTCCAGGAAGTTCTGCAGGCCCGTATGTGGGCTACTATAACCACCCCCTCCACTGCTGTGGGTCCCCAAACTTGTTCCAGCCTCGCCACTCCAATGGCAGCTCCCTCCTCCCTCACTGCTGTCTCTCCAAACTCCCAGCTGTCTCTCCTTAACTCCCAGCCCATGGGCAGCAGCCCGCCTGTCAAGGTCACACTTGCTTCCACGGCAGGCCTGTGACAGTCCTCTGCTGTTACACTGTTACAACATCCTCCGCCTTCCTTCCAGAAGCCAAATTCTCCACTGTTGATAATCAAGTAAGCTACCATACACTTAGCTGCTTCTTCACCTTAACCCTTTCCTGTCCCACCTGATGCTGCCCACAACTTAGTCATACAAAAGAAACGGTGATATTCTGAATATTCTGTAATGCCACAAAAGTCTACTTCACTTATGGTTTACAGAAATAAGCTTTATTTAGCCCCCTGTATATGTTTTCAAGGTTAAGCTTAAAATCAGGTATCCTTAATAGATACTTGGTTCTCAAACTCAAATGCTAAAAAATATGGCATTTAAAATGTTCAATAAAAACTCTTCACATTAAACAGAGGCTCCCTCCTAACAAAACAAAACAAAACAAAACAAAAACAAAAACAAAAACAAAAACAAAAACAAAAAACCCCAAACCTTTAAGGTCTCCAAAGAAAAGAGATGGAACATTGGACTGTTGATTTCACCTGGACTGTGGTAACTCTAACCACTGCGTTAACTGCTCCAAGCCTCACCTGCCACCAGGAACCTGCACCAACTGTGGACACTTTTGGATTGACTAATAGACGTGCCTTGTCACAGTAAGATCAGTTTGCTGGGGGATGTCTTTCTGTATGCTGTGAATATATGTTGTTCCCATTGGTTAATAAATAAGCTGCTTTGGACTCTGGTAAGCCATGGAACACATGGCAAAACATAGATTATAGAAATGGGTTAATTTAAGATATAAGAGCTAGCTAGCAAGAGACCTGCCATAGGCCATACAGTTCGTAAATAATATTAATCCTCTGAGTGATTATTTTATAAGGGGCTGCAGGTGAGAGATTTGTCTGGACTGCAAGGGGCTGGGCGGGACTGGAGAAACTTTTGACTACTCAATTTTCCCAAGTTCTTCCCCTACAGGAAGAATTCCCAGACCTGGTCTGACCAGCTGAAGGCCTGATGCTCTGTGGGACAAGGGAAGATTAAATGTTGCTCTTTCCTGAAGCTAAAGGCAGGCTACTTCTGTGATGAACCACCATGTAAGCCTGTCTAAGTAAGTCTCTGACATTTTAGTTGCTACAGAAAACATTTAGTTATACTTCCTACTCAGATTTATCCGTCGCAGATCTCTGAGGACACTGATGGCTAACTGGAGCTTTAACAACAGCAGTCATAGCTCCCAGGTCAGCCTGTTTCATTTGCACAGTTTACTTTGCTGCCAGACTTCACATTAACCAAGATCTGAGTTTCTGAAGGTTATGAGAAACAGACCAATAAGTTATGCAGGTCAAGGAGAAATGAGTGATACAAGGTATGCAGGTCTAAGATAGGTCTAAAGTTGGGCTGGGGAGATGGCTTAGTGGTTAAGAGCACTGACTGTTCTTCCCCTTCTCTCTTGTCCTCTGTCTCCTGTCTTTGGCTCTTATTCTCTGTTCTCTGTCCCTCTGGGACAATATAAAGGTACAAGGGGAAACCCCGTGTTAGGATGGGGTGTTTAATTTTAATTGGGCATGTTAATTAGGTGAGGCAATGGGGGCTTTTGATTGCTGGACTTCAATACTTTGATAGCTGGACCTTGGTAGTGAGCCTCAGGAGGAAGAATTGGACAAATAAGGGAATAGACCTTGGTGGCTAGCTTCAGGAATGTAATGTAATGGTTTTTAGCAAGGCAGAAGGAACATGAAATAAGGGCAAGGCATTGACTTTCTTTTGGCCAGCTGTTGTATGATATCTCATTTGTATCCTGACAAATAAAGCTTGCCTGGAGATCAGAGAGCAGAGCTAACCATTAACCACAGAGGACAGGCAGGGGTGGCACACACCTTTAATCCAGCACTTGAGCTGAGGAAGTAGGAAGTTCAGGAGTTCAAGGCTACTCTGGGCTACAGTAGAGATCGAACCATCTAAAAGAGAAACAGAGCTAGGCAGTGGTGGCTCACACCTTTAATCCCAGCACTTGGGAGGTAGAGATAGGATCTCAGCCCCAGTCTGAGGATTCATAGTAACAGGATCTTACCCATTTGGTCTGAGATTTCATAGAGGTAAGAAGTTTCTGGTGGCTGCTGCTCTGCTTCTCTATCTTTCACCTTCGATATCTGACTCCAGGTTTTTATTGATTAAGACTAATTAGGTTCGTGCTTCAGCCAGTTGTGTTTGGTTCTAGCCTAGGTCTCTGGGCTATCCATCCTCTGTGTCCTGGTGCTCCAGGTAGTGTCAGGGGTGGGCTCGATCTTGTGGCATGGGTCTTAGACTGGACCAGCCATTGGTTGGCCATTCCCACAATTTCTACACCACCCTTACCCCAGCACTGTGAAGGTCTAGACTTGACTTTACAGCCTCCATTTTAGGGAAAGGGCCATCTAGACTTGACTTTTACAGGCTCCATCTTAGGGAAAGGCCACCATCTCAGACCATCCGCTGTACTCAGTTCCAGGAAGGACCTCAGGAATGTACCATGACAACTCAAAAGGATACAGAGCAGTATCCTCCTGCAGACATCCTGTCTTCGGTTTATGGCCCTTGAAGATATCTAGATAATCCTGCTGAGCAGTCCAGACGATCTTGTTCAGCAGGTTGTGGTTCCCCACCAAAAAGTCTAACTCAATGGTTTCAAATGTGGTTTCACGCCCAAAGTCTAGACCCATAGTTTCAAAAAGTCACCTTGCCCCATATCCCTTCAACCCAATCCCAAGTTGCCAATTCCTGGCTTGTTTTTCCCTATAAAAACTCTCTATACCCAGGCTTGTGGCTGCTGCTGCGCCACATTTCCTTCCATCTGCCATGCGGTGGCCCAGGTTGAACCTGAATAAAAGGACCCTTATGTGCTTGCATCGGAAATTGGCTCTTTGGTGGTCTCTAGGGGTTTCGAGAAACAGGTACAACAGGACATCTTGTAGGCAGGGCAAATTTCAGGTTGAAGGTTTTGTGGCTGTGCTGGTATCCCAGTCCCTTCCTGGAAGTCTTGTCTGGTTATAAGAGATGGCCAGTTCAGGCTCTATATCCCTGACTCCTAGTAGTCTTAGCTAGGGTTACCCTAGGTTTCTAGCTCAGTCATCTCTTCCAGTACTCTCCCTCTCCACCCCACCTCTTGATCCTCCTGTATTGAGATCCCACAGAGCCACTGCATCTGACTTGAATTCCTGAGTGCTAGCACCTAGGCTTTGAACTACCTTTTGTTTAAAGTCAGTGATTCTTATTCAAGAGTTGTTCTTTTGAAGGAATTCCAGAGCCTTTACATAACTTAGTCGAGAGAACCTGGCAAACCAGGTCTCATGACTGAGACCCGCTTAGGCAAATGGTTCCTTCAAACAACTGTGGATAAGAGGGTTTGGTCTTCAGAGATTGACCTGCTAGAGGTGTAATTTGTGTAACAATAAATGAGGCTTCAACAAAGCCTCAGAGCAGTCAGGTCATCTGATGCTGGCTCCCCTGCTGCTGTTGTTAAGCCTGAATTACACTTTGGAGTGACCATGGACACCTCCTGTTTCTATTCCCACCCTTGACATCTATTCTATTTCCTTTCCCCAGAGAGAGCCAAGCATCCCCTCTGAGCCCTCCTTGTTACCTGGCCTGTCTGGGTCTGTGGATTGTAGCACAGTCATCCTTTAATTTACAGCTAATATCTACTTAAAAGTGAGTACATACCATGTTTGTCTGAGTTTTGCCTGCAAATTTCATGTCTACAAATGTAGATGTACCACATTTCTTTATCCATTCTTTAGTTGAGGGATATCTACTTGTTTCCAGTTTCTGGCTATCCATCAGGGAAGTGCCAATCAAAGACTCAGATTCCATCTTACACCTCTTAAGATTGGCTAAGATCAAAACCACAATGGCATCTCATGCTGGTGAGGATACGGAGCAAGGGCCCTCTAGGCCTCACAAACCATAAAGGCTATTGCTACTGCTGTTGTACAGGAAAACTAGACGGTAAGACCCCATTCCTGGAGACACTGCATGTGGCTGCAAGACAGGGAGAAACTAAGCTGGGACTGAACTGGAGACAGCTTTCCCAGTGCCAGAGGGGGCCATGCAGGTTGCTGGTGAACTGTCATCAACATTCCTATGGCCCATGTGTGCTAAAATACCAACATGCCAGGTACACTGTATTTGCTTGTGCAGTAGTGGCTTGGCTGTCATGGGGAAGACCAACAGTCTTCTGGTTAAGGCTGCTCCACGAGATGGAGTTCACGGAGCACTTGAAGCCAGAAAGCAAACTTGTCGCTGGAAAGTCACAGGTGGTATTCATACTTGGTCTGTCGTGGGCTCTCTATCTGGGGTGAGTAGACATGTGTGTTGCATCTTCCCAGGAAAAGTTTCATCATACAACAAAGCTTTACATTAATTTATGTGCTATGAAAAGCCTGAAGATTTAAGAACTTTATTCTTTCAATATATAAAAATAAATAAAACAGTTCAATTTTTGGGAGTATCACAAATACAAGAAGGTACTGCTATCATTATTCTAAATAACTGGAATAAATTAGTTTCTTGTTCCTCCATCTTCTAATTATAATGGCAAAGTGAAAATTAGGCTGATATTAAGTTGGACTGCAGCATCACTGTTAGGGTAGACACATGAAGAAAGCCATTCCAAAGGATGCCGTGGGTGGGGCATCTACTACTGCATTTTGCACTCGGGCCCATCTCTTCCTGAGGAGGGCTGACAAAGGTCTGCCCTAGGATCCACATTCTCTACTTCAGCAGCTGGTTCCTCTG